TCCGCCAACGCCTTATACTCAGCCTCAGTAGACAAACGAGCCACAGTTCGCTGCTTGCGACAGGACCAGGAAATCAAATTAGAACCAAGATAAACCGCGTAGCCACTGGTAGACTTCCGGTCTTCGGGCAAACTAGCTCAGTCAGAGTCACTATAGGCATGCAAAACCTCTGTAGCTGACTTACGCAAAAGCAAACCATAATGCAAAGTGCCCTTAATGTAACGCAAAACACGCTTCAAGAACGCCCAATGAGCAACCGTTGGAGAGTGCATAAACTGACATAACCTGTTAACAGCAAAAGAGAGATCCGGGCGAGTCACCGTGAGATATTGCAAGGCACCAGCAAGACTCCTGTACTGCGTGGGATCAACATAGGGCTCAACAGAGCCAGGGTCAGACTTAGCAACCGAGAGCGCGCGTAACCAAGGGCTTACAATCGACCATACCTGCTCGTTTCAAAATATCACCCATGTAACGCTGCTGAGACAACAACACACCATTAGCCACATAAACAGTCTGAATACCCAAGAAAAAAGAAAGGTCGCCCATGTCACGCACTTTAAAAGCAGAAGACAACTGACTGACCAAACTAGCAACAAACTTCGCATCACTGCCCATAACAAGGATGTCATCGACATACACCAGAAGATACACAAAAACACCATTAACAGAATAAATAAACAGTGAAACGTCAATCTTAGACGAGCGAAAACCAATAGACACCAAAAACTCATGCAAACGTAGGAACCAAGCTCGGGGAGCTTGCTTCAGTCCATACAACGAGCGCTGCAAGACACACAAAATCAGGATGCGCCTTATCCTCATACCCCGGAGGCTGACGCATGTAAACAGTCTCCGCCAGCCGACCATTGAGAAAAGCATTATAGATGTCAAGCTGGCGGATCACCCAGCCACGAGAGTGAGCTAAAGATAGAAGCAAGCGCACAGTCGTCGTCTTAACAACAGGACTGAAGGTCTAAAAAAGTCTTGCCCCGGAACTTGATTGAAACCCTTTGCCATAAGCCTGGCTTTGTAGCGCTCAACCGAGCCATCCACCTTCCGTTTAACACGGAATACCCATTTATAGCCAACCACATTCATACCAGACTTAGCCGGGACAAGGCGCCACGTCTGATTATACAAGAGAGCATTAAACTCTGCATCCATGGCATCTCTCCACTCAGCATGCCGAACAGCCTGAGTAAACACAAGTAGGCTCCTGAGGAACAACCTCAGACACCAAAGCATAGTGAGGCTGATCACGAGGCATGTGCCGAAGAGTCATGGTGTGAGAACGAGGTTGCCCCCGAACCCGCTGCTTACGAGCACGAACAGGCTGCCTGGGAACAACACTAGAAGCAGCAGCCAAAGAAGGGACAACCAAATCAACAGGCGACGGCACAGAAGCCCGAGAGAAACCAGCAACACCCCACGGAAAACTAAACACAGGCTTGCTCACCGGAACCTGCTCAGCACGAGAGCGTGCAAAAGGAAAGCTGCAATCATCAAAGCGCACATGTCTACACACAAAAATACAGTTAGTGTTCAGATCCATGCACCTATAACCACGAAAAGACGGAGGGTACCCCAGAAACACACAAGGAGAAGACCTATAATCCATTTTATGACGATTATAGGGACGCAAGTAGGGGTAGCAAAGACAACCAAAAACTCTAAGAAAAGTGTATGACGGAGGAGAACGATGAAGTTTATAGTGAGGACTAACATCGCCAAGAATAGAAGTGGGCATCCTATTAATAAGATACACCGTTGTTTCGAGAGGGAACAGATGTCTGTGCCAACAAGGCAAGACCAGTCTCAACAATATGACGGTTCCTGCGCTCTACATGCCCATTTTGTTCATGCGTGTAGGCACATGACTGCCGATGAACAATACCCAACTGAACAAAACGCGAATGAAGTTTCTTATACTCACTGCCTAAATCGGATTGAACAGATTTCATTTTGCACGTAAAGAAATTTTTTACCATGTCACGAAATTGCTCAAAAATCACATATATATCAAATTTCTGACGCATGGGATAAAACCATGTAAAATGCGAAAAATCATCAACAAAAATCACAAAATAGCGAGAACCATTATGTGATAACAAAGGCGCAAGCCCCCAAACATCAGTATACAATAGTTCAAGAATATGAGAACTAGACAAACTAATACGAGAAAGCGGAAAACGTGACGACTTGCCCAATTGGCAAGCAGAACATAAAGAGTCACTAATACTAGTAGACGAAGTAGGACAATATTTCAACATTTGACAGAGAACACGACGATGAGGGTGACCTAACCGATTGTGCCAGACCGAGGGAGAGGCCCGAGCAGACAACAGCGCAGCAGGACCAGACTTGGACACAGGAAGCGAATAGAGACTACCAGAACTACTCCCCTTGAACATGACCGCCTTGGTAATGAGATCCTTCACAAAAAAAAAAAAAAAAAAACAATTAGGATGAAACTAAAAAAAGACTCGATTATCAGTAGCGAAACGCTAAACAAATAACAATGAGGTAGACAACACTGGACATGTAATACGTCAGACAGTTTAAAAGAACAAGACGGAGTAGAAATGGATTCATGACCGACACTACGTATAGACAAACTTGAACCGTCTCCAACACGGAGAACATCCGAACCTGTATAATCAGTAGCGACGGACATCAAACTAGGACCCGGTGTGGCATGGCTTGTAGTACCCGTATCTGGAAACCAATTATGCGGACCCAAGGAAGAGGAATCATCCGCTGCATACACCATGTTGGCACGTGGAGGACCGACAGCCGGCGCATACCTCTGGAAGCAGCGATCGGCAGTGTGACCGGCAGTACCGCAGATCTGGCAGCGCGGTGAACTGCGGCGTCCTCGACCACGGCCACCAGCCCGGCCACTAGTCCGGCCGCGACCACCTCCACGCGAGAACTCACGACCGCCTCTGTCGCGACCACGCTGGACCACCATGGCCGCCAGAGCAGCCCCATCAACAACATAATCCGCACCGCAAACAAACTCGTTTGCCAACAGAAAATCGGAGGGTTCCTCCAATGTCACCGGCTCACTTCTCGACGTCAAGGTAGCCACCAACGGCCGATACTCCGAGCGAAGTCCACGGAAGACATACATATTCTGATCATCAAGCGTTATGGACCGCCCGGCCAACTCCAAATCCTCGACAATGACCTGCGTGCAGCCAAGGAAATCTGCCACCTGCTTATCACATTGCCGGAGATTCTGAAGCTGCCCCAAGAGCCGGAGAGTACGCGCTCGTGACGTGGAACCAAACGCCCGCTCAACTGCCAGCCACACCTGCCGGGAAGTGCGCTTGCCAACCGCCAAATGCATGACCTCGTCTTACATCGACGAGATCAGCATGGAGAGAATGGCCGAGTCTTGTTGTTTCCAGGCGGCTGAAGTCATCCCCGGAGAAGCCGCCGAAGTCGAATCACTAGGAGAGGCCACCAACGCCTGATCGGCAGGAGAGGTCGCCGGCGGTGCAGTAGCCATCGGACACGAGGACGTGCCATCAACAAAACCAACGAGATTCTGACCAGTCAGAAATGGCACGAGCTGATTACGCCAAAACAAATAATTTCGGGATGTTAATTTTATGGAAATAAAATGGTGAGCTGATGAGAGATTGGCGTTTGTGCCAACAGGAATGGGAAGAGTGGCATCAGAAACAGTCCGCTCGGAAGAAATCCCGGCAGAACTGTCAGCATTGTCGGCCATATGATGAAACCTGAGCGACTGAAAGATAATAAATACAATAGAAACCTATCTATGATATACAAGATAGAGTCCAAGACGGAATATAATACTACTAAAAGATATATTCCTAATAAATCAAAATTGTAAATAACTAAGAAAAAATTATATATCTACTTTTTCTGATTTTTTTATCGGGTTAGTCTTAAGTAGAAATTCATATCACGAGCAAAATTACATAAATAATTTGCACGGTAGTCTTCGGCATATCTCTTTCCTTCCAAGAACGTGCCCCTATTGCTTATTCAACCTTGTCTAATTGCATTTCTTTTAGCTGCAAAACTGTGGGTTTACTTGACTAAAAAATTTAATTTATCTAATTTTTTAACTTAAATTCATAATAACATTATTTTTCTCTCCACGTGTAAAACATTAGTAAAACAGTAGTAATGTATTTAAAATAAAGGGAAAATGACATATTTTCTCCCTGAGTTATATACATATATCCTTTTTTACCTTGAATTATTCAGGTAAGTACATTAGCCCTTCAATTATTTTAAAAGTTGTAATTTTTTCTCCTAATATATTAAATTGACATTTCTACCCTTAAAGTAACCATTTTATTTATTTTTTTTTCTCCAACAAATTATTACGTATACGTAGGAATGACCACGGTTCAGTTCGAACTGAACCGGACACTATAGTAATCGAATTAAAAGTTTCGGTTATGATTCAGATCTAGAACCCAATATTTGAATTTCAGTTTATTAAAATTATGAATCGGAAAAACTGGATCCTGAATTGTGAACCGGCAGTTCCGGATCCGGTACGCGATTTTTAACCGTTTTTAATTTAATTTTTTTTTAATTTTAAAATAGTCTAAATTCAATAATAAATGTATTTTATTTTTTTTTTTTTAGTTCGAAACATGAATCGACCGTTTCAGTTTGCGATTGTAATAAACTCTAAATATCAGATTTCGATTCTAAATTGTAATTGGAATATTTCGGTTTGGTTGCTATAGTGTCTGTTTGGTTTGAACCAAATTGTGGTCATAATTTGTTGGAGAAGAGAAAAATAAATGAAATACTTATTTTAAATATTTATTTTAAGAGTAAATATGTCCATTTAACATTTCAGGGAGGAAAACAATCACTTGAATAATTAATGGAGAAAAAGTGCTATAAGTATATAACTTAGAGGAAATAGGGTTATTTTCACTAAAATAAAATAATAAAATAAAAACACGTTCGGGGCGGTTTGAGCTTTTTAGGGTCCGAACTCCGCAGTCAACACAAATCTCTCATATCTCTCTCTTACTCACTCAAACGATCTCTCGTAGCCTCTCAAGTTTCAATTCTCAAAATTTACAGTTTTTATTCTTCAATATTTTTCATTTCTTCGCCGCGAAGTTGCTTATTAGTCAAAGGCCGATGCTGCGAAGGAGATCTAGGCCGATCTGGAAAGGTACACAAGATTCTAATTACCTCAGTTGCTCAATTATCGATATTTATGTAGATCTGGAATTTAAACTTTGAATTGAAAACCTCAAATCGAATTTTAATTAGATTATTAGTTTCAAAACTGGTTGTAAGTTCACTAATAATGAGTGCGAAATTTGGTGATTTATTATTTTATTTTATTTATTCAAATAATTTATTTCCAATTACTCATTTTCGGCTTTTAAATATACTATCATGATATTCTGTTCTGATCTTCAGTCTTATCATATTACCCTTCAAGTATGGATTTTGAAAAAATTAGAATTAACAGTGACATAAAGCTTATTAATCTTTGCTCAAAAAAAAGTTGAAAAAGCATAAGATAAAGTAGCTTATAATCATTACATAAAGTTCAATGGGACTTTTCTAGTGATCTTCCTATTATTAACTTCATTTTGATTTTTATTGTGTGGATACATCTTAAAGAAATTTTGCCATTTTGAAGTCAGTCTTTCATTTTTTCCTCCAATTAATTGTCTTGAATTTGTTAACAGGGCTCTTGCTGTGTTTTGGAAGAAGATGATGTGATGGGGTTTGATAGTGGGGCAAAAACTATAAAGGATTGTTGTGAACTCACCTTTGGATGGATGATGCTTCAAGGGCAAATATTAATCAACATCTTGAGAGTAACATTACCAAGAAGAACAAAGAATATCATGATGTGTTTGAATAGCACAAATAGCTAATAAAGGAGGCTTCAAAGGTTGGACGTATTTTGTTGTTGTGGATGATGGGTTCCAATCAAGACAATAATTACTTGAAGTTTGTTTTCTCCAACAAAATGGGAAGCAATAGAGTCCTCTTCAGAACTTAGGATGGGCATTCAGCTATATGCAGATACTTCTCGTAAATTGCAGCCTTCAAAATTTTTAAGAAATAAGGAAAGTTGTGAGTTACTGAAGAGGAAAGGTTTTATCAAAGAAAGTTGTTTTATTGAGCTTGAAAAGGGCGGGGAATGCATTGCTATAAAATGCGGTGGACTGCCACTTGCAGAAGTAGCCATTGTTGGTGTCTTAATCCAATACACTAGCAACAACTGCTATTGTAAGTGGTAGTCCATTGCATTTTATAGCTATATGTTTATGGCCTCTTTTAGTTCAAGAGGACAACTTCCCTTGAGAACAACCTTCTTCTAGTAGCTCCCAACTTTCATCATTTCTTTAAAAATTTAAAGAGTGCGGCTTACAAGCGGAATTTACATATATAGCTACATTCTCATGCCTAGTTATTAAGAGATTCTACTCCCTCTCATGTTTTTGTGAAAAGCAATTTTCAAATATTTATAGTCTTGTGGTCCACACATCATCCAGCACAATGAAATGCTTACCACCCTCTAAAAGTTCCTTTATTTTAGTTGTTAAATGCTCTTCAGGCATATCATGGTACTTCATTTTCTTCATTACTTTCGCACTCTCAAGCAGCTCAACATCATGCCTGGAGTTTGCATTCTCTGTTTGAACCATTGTAAAAAATTTACAATTAATTCATATGCATTTTCCTTAATTTCTTCCTCGATTGAGATTGGTTTTGTTTTTTTTTTTTTTTTTTTTTTGGGGGGGGGGGGGGGGGGTGGTGAATACTGATTTTGAATTGTTTTTTTGGTTGTTTAGGTGCAAAATAACCTTTTGGAGTCAATGGGGGTAATATTTTCCTTATTGGCAGAGAGGAAGAGATAGTGTGGAACTTGGGGCTTTATTGTATGAATTCAGTCTATGATCATGTTGTTGATTGTGATCAAGAACTTGTTCCTTTCTGCACCCAGCAGCTGAGTCAACTCTTGTGTGACAGGTTTGTTCTTTCACTTATTTGAATTTCATGATTTCATTATGATGTTTTGTATAGTCCAGTGCTGTAGTAGACCTGATACTTTGACCACATTTTAGCATGTTTAAACAATTGGGTGGTGCTGTCATTGTTATTTCAAAGAAACTGGAAGATATTAACAAGCTTTGTATATTGATTGCTATGAGCATTAAGCTCTCCCCTAAACATGTTTGCGGTCACTTGTTCTAAGAGTTAACATTCTAGTACAGCCATTTTAGCATTCCAAGAATGTAGGTTATTTTAATGTTGGTTAACCCTCTGCGCATTGCATATTTGCATATATGTAAAAGTTCTATTACAACATGTTTGGTTCACGGGATAGGTTGGGAATGGAATAACTCATCTCTATTTTTATCTAAAGTATATCTTTTTCTGAAAAGGAATTCATCAGGGAAGCTTGAAGCTGCAGCGATCAACACTTTTTTGGAAGGAAAAAAATGTTGATGACCACCATGCAAATTATTTTCTTTGATATTGCTCGTACTTAAGCCTGTGATGTAAATGCTGCGTACTTGACATATTGCCATTATGAATTCGGGTTTTAATAGGAAAAATTGTTGTCTTTATTTCTTCTCTATCCAATAGTGTGGTCTGCTTAAGATTTTCAAACTTTTAAAGTTTGAGCTTCATAAAGCATAAAGAACATGAAATTAAGATAGACAAGATCAAAAGGGGAGAAACTAAGAAAGAGATGCAAATGGTTGAAATGTTTTACTATGAAATGATCTAGTGAAGGAATGCAAATGGACGTAGAATGGTTTGTTATGAAATGATCCATCGTTGGCCTATAGGTGAGATTATGGATTCTAATGCATTTAGGACGTCCATTGAGCCATTTTTGGATTGGGACATATCTCTAGTCACTTCAAGTTTCTAACTTCATTATTGTATTAGTAGTTTATTTGTCACTTGAATTAAATTTGTTAACTATGAAAACATATATTGCAAATAATATTGATTTGTTGATGCATTAACAATAATGTTTCAAATATAATTAAAAGCACAAAACAATTAAAAGAATAGAAAAAGGCCCAATAACTTTAAAGTCCATCAAAAAAAAATTATATTAAAATAGAAAACTAAACCCACTTATTCACAAATCCTAGCTTCTTGTTATTTATTTATTAATTATTATTATTTTTTCTCAACCTGATGCACTAAGAGTCAACACCGCTTCCATTGTATCACTATTGTTTTATGTGTCAACCACTATTGGTGTAGTGTAAAATTCCTTCGCAACCCACTAAATTCACTTTTGAAATCACTTATTCACATACAAGAACTTGTAGATTCATCACCAACCAAGCCTCGTCTAACCTTTAAAACAACATTACTCCTTAGATCTCCCACATAACTTATTCATCACCAACTCCCACCATTACCATTGATGCAAAATTACTTTCGGACCAAAAAGGCAACATTCCTCTTTTCCACTAAGGGTCCGTTTGGAAGCTGGAAAATGACTTTTGGAAAATGAGTCATTTTCCAGAAGTCATTTTCCTTTCTTGTGTTTGGCTGAACAATGGAAAACTGTCTTTTGGTGTTTGGTTCATTTTTCAGAAAATGATGGAAAACTGTCTTTTGGTGTTTGGTTCATTTTCCAGAAAATGAACAGAATGGAATTGTTATTCGATAAATATATTATTATTGTTTTTTTTTTTTTGTATAATATAACAATTTTTATTTCAAATTCCATGCTACATAATTTTTGTTGTATGTAATTCGAATGTCTTTGCTCTCAATCTATCTTTCTAGTATTAAAACTATTGTCATAATATGGCAATTTCAAACCACAATTACATGTTAGAAACAACATAAAGGAATCAACAAAAGCAAGTATTGAAAATTAAAATCCACAAAGTCTTAGGATCCAATATAATCAAGTATTAAAGATCCAACATAACCAACCAACTACAAAGCATACATAAAAATAAGTCTTAAATATTACAATCCAAGTCTTAACATCCATGTTAACCAACAAAAAAAAGGCATAGAAAATTTAATCCGAAGAAGAAATAAATTTCTCAATCCATTCCCTCTTCAAGCTTGCATTCTTCGCGTTGAAAATCCTCGCCTGAACCTCATTTTTCATCAAGTATTCAAATGCCTTACATAGGTCATCCTCATGAAAGCCATCACCTATGCTCATCACATCCGCAAACGACTTATGTTCATCAATGCCAGTATTCAAAGATTTAATTGCTGTGGCAATGCTACCAAGTTGTTCAGCAATTTCATCGACCTTCAAGTCAAGTGACTTTCGCTTACGACCGGATCTTTGAGACGACGCAGTTGATGCAGATGTTCTTCCCCTACTTTCTTCATCATTTCCTTCAGGCAGGGTTTCATCATTGTTATCCGGCAACATCTCATCATGAGGGCCATCTAAAGTAACATCTGCAAAAGATTTTGCAAAACGTCCTATGGCACAATCTCTGCCAGCGACAATGGACATCTCATCGTAGTAGTCAATCTTCCTGTTCAAAAATGTTTCATACTTGGGAGTTGCCTATAAATAAATAATAAACATGAGATATTTTCTAATAAAAAGACATTAGATTTATGCAATAGTGAAATTATGATAATAAAATATTACCATGATAAGCTCAATATACGGGGCTTCATCACATGTAATCATTTTCAAGTTATCATCCCATCCAAGACCACTCATCCCCTTCAGCTTGCATATCATCATCCATGTGTTCTTCACTGTTTTCAAGTGATTCTCAACATGTTTGACTTCACATGCAACATTAAATTGTTCAGATATGGTAGATGCAACACGATTGAATGAAGATGTTCTAAAATTGTTAGTTGGATTATTGGGATTCCTAGCCTCTTCAGCTAATATCTTTAAAAATACGCCCTCCATTGGCTTTGTCCACCGAAATTGTCTAGAAGTGGCAATTCTCTTTCCCTTATTCATGTTTCTATAATAACATAAAAACAATAACAACCAACGTCAACCAATGAAACATAATATCCATTAACAAAGCATATATACTCATGTCCATATAATAATATCCAATAACAAAGCATAATCAAGTACACAACCATAAGAAATGTTCAACAACGTAACTAATAATATCCAATAACAAAGCATACTCAAATATATGAAACTAGACACTAGTTCCAAATAAGAAATTCATTCCACATTTGTTCTGCGATCTCATCTCTCTTTGCATTCCATTGTCTAACTTCTTGTCTTTCTTCTGTTTGCGTATGAGATAAGGGCAACAAGTTATTGTCATCAACATCAACTGTTGCTTGATTAAGCTCATCATTAGGATCAACTCCCATAATATGGTTATGAATTATACAACAAGCTAAAACTATATCCACTTGTGTCTGGTAATCCCAAAAAGGTTCAGCATCTAACACACGGAACCGTTTCTTCAAAATTCCAAACACTCTCTCAATAGATGTATGTAAGGACGAATGACGAAGATTGAAAAGTTCTTTCTTATTCTCAGGATGATGAGCACTAAACTCTTTCAAATGGTATCTAACACCACGGTATGGAGTAAGTATTCCATTCCGTATGCCATATCCAGCATCACCAAGATAATATTTCCCTACAAGTTTACATAATTTGATTACTTATATGCAATAACAAACAATACAATGTAAAAAGTGATTACATAATTTTATTTTATACCTTCTGGAATTTTAAATTTATTTGGACGTGTGAGTGCATCGTTCAAGACTCGAGAATCATGTGCACTACCTTCCCACCCAGCTAGCACATAACAAAATCGCAAATCAAAAGTGACGGCAGCAAATACATTTTGTGTCCACCCTTACGTCCGCGAAAACTTCCTTGCATATTAATTGGCACGGATGCACGAATATGGGTTCCATCTATTGCTCCTAAACAATCTTTGAAATAGGGATAAAATCGCGGATTGCTAATGATTTCATGAGGAGTTACTTCACCGTCCGGTAATACTATGAGGTTCGTATACAAAGATAAAATGGCTCTCAAAACACTTCTAAAGTAACGGTGAATTGTCTCAATTGACCTATAATACCTTGACCCAATTACTCGAAAGCGTACATTGTGACCTATTATATGTAAAAATATTAAAACTTGTTCCTTAATACTTACGGCTCTAGTTGTGCGTAATAAGTTCTTAGTAGCAAGAAGGTCACACAATTTATAAAAGGAAATAGGTTGCATTCTAATAACGCTAATGCATTTGTTATCACCCTCACACAAGATACTATTTATGTAACTCTCTCGCTCAGCATCTCTATTGACAATGTCATGTTCTATTTGATTTCTATTCCTAAGTTGTTGTAATAGAAGAACTCCCATTGCTAGTATAGCACTTGCTGCACCCATAACAGTTGCACGCATATGATTTCTATCCATCTATACACAAAAAAAAAAATGATAACAAATAACCACAATTAAAACTAACACATAGATAACCACACAATAATTAGTGATCAAAATCAATAAACCAAATAAGCAGCAACCAAAGTGTATTATAAGCAGCAACCAATATACAAGTTCTTCAAGATCATGTATAATCAAATCTAACATTGCATATATAATATATAATATGATTTCTATAGCATATATCCAGAGGCACTGGGTTTTAAATTGTAGGCTGAATTCTATAGAATATATAATATGATTTCAAAAGCTAACATTGCATAACAGGTCATCAAAATATTATAAAACCAGAGCCATCAAAATATTAAACTCAGTACCCAGAACTTTAGAAATAAATCGACACTCACCCTCTTGAAATTATTTTGGTAGAGCTACTGGTAAAATCGCCACTAGTTTTTTTTTTTTGTTTTCTTCACTGGTTTCCCTGGCCGGAAACCAGTGGTTTCCGGCGGGGAAACCAGTGCCTCTGGTTTCCGCATCGGAAACCAGAGAACTGGTTTCCGATGCGGAAACCAGCTCACTGGTTTCCCCGCCGGAAACCATTGGTTTCCGGCCGGGGAAACCAGTGAAGAAAACAAAAAAAACCCAGATCTATACAGTTCATAGAAAGAAAAAAAAATTCAAACTAGAAAGATATGAAATATACCTCAGTAGCTTTTGTAGTGTTGTTGAAGCTTTTGTGATTATGGATTGTTGGAGGAGGGAGTGTTGGTGAGTTGTATTGCTAATGTTGAAGGAGGAGGCAGAGCTGTTGAAGACTAGAGAAGAAGAAGAAGTCGCGTTGTGGATGGAAGGAAAATGACTTCCCCAAAAAAAAGGGGAAGTCATTTTCCATAAAATTGCTTCCTTTTCCATTGACTTTTACCTCATTTTCCTTTGACCAGTCATTTTCCAATGTAGCCAAACACCAAAAACCCGGAAAATGACTTCCAGAAGTCATTTTCCGGGTTTCCAAACACACCCTAAGAGAAAAAAAAAAAGATAAGAAAGAATTGATGCTCTCTCCAAAGCCCTCATGAGTTGGCTACGGTTAGAATAAAATTCATTCAAAACTTCCTAAAATAATGACTTTTGAAACCCTTTAACCACAAACAAAAATCTCGTAGATCTATTGGAAGCAAAGCTTTATCCATCCGTTAAAACACCATTACTACTTAGATCTCTCACCTAACACTCGTCTGTCACCAACTCCCACCATTACCATTGCCACAAAACTACTTCCGGGCAAAAAATACAACACTCCAGATCTCCACTAGGAGGGAGAAAAAAAAAAGATAAGAAAGAGTTGTCACCTTCCCCAAAATCCTCCTGGTAGGAGTGGTAGTAGAGGACACACAAATAGAAGCTAAGATTATCATTTTTGAATACTGCTGACTCTATTACAATGCGGTATCTGTTCATAACTACTTTCTCGACCAAGTGAAGCACAAAGAGCCAATATCGCCTTCACTGAGACTCGATCGCACAACTTCCCACTTAAGGGAGTAATTTGCAGCCAAGATTATTATTATCCATCGTTGATAAAGTCTTGTAAACTTTCAAAATACCATTACTCTTTAGATCTTCTACCTAATACTTCTCCATCACCAACTCCCACCATTACCATCCCCACAAAATTACTTTCAGACCAAAAAACAATATTTCATTTGTCAACTATTTCTTTCTAGAAGGACAAACAACGAAAGATTTGAAGGATACATTTGTTTCACTTAATATAAATATCTTTATAAATAAATTATTTAGGATTTTCTATGCCAAATTACCATTGGTACTCATAATAGAGTAAACTCATACATTTAATTAGTATTTTATTATGTTAGGGGAATTGAAGTATTGTGGATATTGTGATGCATGGGCGTCCAGTTGGCAATGACCGACCATTATATATCCCAATCAATATTGTATGACCATGGTTCATACAAGCCGTGGATCATATCTAGTTTCAGTTGATTTAATTGGTTTAGAACTTTAGGTAATCTCTGAATTTTAGTAATTATATTTTTCAATCAATTTTTAGTAAAGTTCTAAACCAATTAAATCGGTTGAAATCGAAAAAAATAACAAAAGAAAAATATGATGAGATAAAAATGCCCTTACTAAAAATATAAAAATTCATAAGGACTAAAAGTGTCCAAAAAAATAGTCTGTGATGTAAAATGACAAAAACAATATTTTGAGACTAAATTTGAAATTGCCACTAAAGACAATGGACCTCTAATGGAATTAACACTACCAAAAAGAGTAAATCGCACTTAAGGGGTATGGTTCTTTTTTCCCCAGGTGACTAAGAATCTATCAAATTTATTTAATTACGTATTTTATCTTTTTTTGACACGATGTTAAAACTTAAAAGTATCTTATCAATATAAGAAATTTGTCTCCCTCACCATTACACACTATTTATCGAAAAAATTTGCATAAATATATTCTTGATTAGTTTTCTATGTCAACTATAATCCTAAATATTGATGCATGTTTCTTCCTTTTGAATTTTAATTACTATATTCAAATAGAGTTTTCTTGACTTGTTTGTAGTCTTATTCCTCATTCCTACAAGAATAGCATGGATATATTAGATTTAAAAAAAAAAAAAAAAAAAAACTCGTAAGAAAATTTAAATTAATGAAGGGTGTTGCTATTTGCACCACCCTTTGGCCAAAAAAAGGGTATAAAGTACATTGGAATTGTGAAAAGGTAAATTTTTTTTAATAATTACATAGGTGGTGTAAATAGCTAAATAGGTGGTCAAATTACTATTTGCACCACCTAGTCAAACTTCATTTATTAGGTGTAAGTAATAATTTTTTAATTCAAAATTTAATTAATTAAAGCATTAATTTTTTTTTCCCGGTCATCTCTAACCTCCCATTTCTACGAGAAACCCATATCCTTTTAACTCCCTCATGAGATTCCTCGTAAGCTATCAACACTGGACATTCTACCCCATCATGCTCTTAATCGTGAGAATCAACATGTTTATTCAATCCTGGAAAACGGTTTTATTCAAGAAAAAAAATTCGTGAATCACGCACAGGAAATCCTAGTGTTAATAATTTTCTGGATTTTGTACCCGTTTCTTCTCTCCAGTTTACCCAACCATTCGGAGAGAAATGAGAATAATGTTTGTTGTTCTTAGTTTAATGATGACGGGGTTCAGCAAATCCAGTTCAGTTTGAATCATCTCGCCTCCAGCTTCTTTGCCGAGCCGTTGACCGGAAAAGATTGGGTGGAGAAGCATATCGACAGGGCACTCGACATCGATTGCTCTCCGTGGATGGATTGGTTCCACGGTGAATTGCAGTTCCAGATTGAACACCACATGTTCCCGACAATGCCGAGGTGCCAATTAAGAAAAGTGCTGTCGTTCGTTGAACAGCTTTGCGAGAAACACGGATTGGCGTATAACCATGAATCCTTCTGGGCGGCCAACGTTTTGATGTTCAAGTCGATCCGAGATGCGGCGTTGATGGCCAGGGATTTGTCGCTGGAGAAAGCGCCCAAGAATTTGGTCTGGGAAGCATTAAAAAGCTCGCCGAAGAAGGCCAAGTTTCTTTGTTTCTTTTTTTTTTTTTTTTAAAAAAAAATTAATAGATTAATTATTAAATAAAAATAAAAATAAATAATAAAGATTAATGCTTGACTACATTTAATGAGGTGGTGCAAATAACACTTTTCTTTTGCACCTCCTATAAAGCTATTATACCTATTAAATAGGTGGTGCAAATAG